CCCATATTTAATTGCCTTTTATAGAATTAGGATTGTCTTCTGACACAGGGCCCATCTGATTTTCCAACTGTCCCAGCCCCCATAACTTATCTGATGTCAGAAGTGTACATAGGAGATTTTCATGTGCATTTTATAAGCAGCTTAATATACATTTGCCTACATAATAATGCAGTTATCTCGCAGTAAAACCCTGAGTGCTAAGACAAATTTATTCTGCGGTGACAGATTTAGGTCAGGCTCCCAAATAGGAATAGACAGATTGATGGGCCCAGCAGAGAGAGAGAGAGAGAGAGAGAGAGAGAGAGAGAGAGAGAGAGGGAGAGAGAGAGAGAGAGAGAGAGAGAGAGAGAGAGAGAGAGAGAGAGAGAGAGGGAGAGAGAGAGAGAGAGAGAGAGAGAGAGAGAGAGAGAGAGAGAGAGAGAATTATTTTATATAAGACTAGGGGAGATTGAATCAAGAAGATAGCGAACATCTGTATTCCATACTGTTTTATAAACTTAGATGCTTCTGTCCAGATAGATCCATCCATAAGAAGAGATTGGGCAACCACTTTTCTGAAATGGTACAGGGCCAAGGTCCCTTCCAACTCTGTTATTCTGTTATAAGTCTATTAATCGTAGTTCCTGTGAATAGGTCCATTAAGAGAGTTGCCCACCAACACTTTCATGGTGGGCTGTAACTGGGAATAGAATAGAATAGAATAGAATAGAATAGAATAGAATAGAATAGAATGGAATGGAATGGAATGGAATGGAATGGAATGGAATGGAATGGAATAAGAAATGAATAGAATAGAATAGAATAGAATAGAATAGAATAGAATAGAATAGAATAGAATAGAATAGAATGGAATGGAATGGAATGGAATGGGATTCTTTATTGGCCAAGTGTGATTGGACAAGCAAGGATTTTGTCCCTGGTGCATAAGCTTTCAGTGTACACACAAGCAACAAGTTATGCCATTAGCCTTCTCTTCTGACCCATCTGTAGAAAGCCTTGTAATGCAAACACCACCAACCTTTGTCTTTGCGTCACCCACTAGAAGTGCACCAAACCAGCTGACCGCTCTTGGAGGTGATTGTCTCCTTGAAACAAAGGTAGTCTTTAGAACTGAACCAGGAACGTCAAGAATTGCTGAAGGCATACAGCTGTCACTAGACTGGATCTGGAATCATTAGTGAAACTTTGGATAGCATGTCTGAATAGTGTGGGAGTTGTCGTGGCTGTTCCTTCCTCATCTCCATGAACGTGGAGGACCAGGGAGTCCTCCTGGACCCAGAATGTGGAGAAAAGAATCACAGACAGTGTGAGCAGCTTACCTTGTACATGTTTTGGAAAGCAGATATGCATAGAGAAGAGTCTTTCCTGTTCATCATCAATCATCTAGGAGATGTGAGTCACTTGTTTGTGGTTTTGTTGATATGAACAAGCTGACGGATGGACAAGCTGCCCATCTAGTTGAGACCTTGTGAAAATCTTGGACATGTAGGACCCATTTGCCTACTGACAACCAGGCTACCATGGGATTTAGCTATCATCTTTATGATTTCCATGGCCTTATTTCCACCCATCATTAAATGTCTAGTTTTCCTCTACAGCACGTTTAACCTGGACTTGTACACCCAAGGAAAGGACACATTCTCTTCTTCAGCAGCCTGGTTAAGCAACTAGTGCAAGTGCTGCTCTTCTTCTCAGCAAAATTAGAGAAGAAACGGAGGAGAAAGGACTCCAATTGCTACAGTTCCCAACTAGCCTCTATAGAATCCATGGCCCTTCCCAAGGCTTTCGTGTAGGAGCTAATTAAAGAACTCCTCTCATTTCCATGGTAACCCCAAGCATCACGCTCAACATCCTTAGCTGCTTTAACATCAACATACTAATAAGATGCAATGCAGTTGGTCCTACACATCATCAGGTAGACAGTAATTGAATGAGAGAGAGAGAGAGAGAGAGAGAGAGAGAGAGAGAGAGAGAGAGAGAGAGAGAGAGAGAGAGAGAGAGAGAGAGAGAGAGAGAGAGAGAGAGAGAGAAAGAGAGAGAGAGAGAGAGAGAGAGAAAGAGAGAGAGAGAGAGAGAAAGAGAGAGAGAGAGAGAGAGAGAGAAAAAAAGAGAGAGANAGAGAGAGAGAGAGAGAGAGAGAGAGAGAGAGAGAGAGAGAGAGAGAGAGAGAGAGTTCACCCCAGTGTGGTATGGTGCTTAAAATGGTTAGCTAAGGGATGGAAGACCAAGGTTCTAGATCTCCCTTAACTTCAGCCAGTCATCCTCACCCAGTCTGAGCCCCGGAGAGTCAAAACCCCATAAATCTACCAACTTGCACTGGACCATGATGGAGTTTATCTTCATCTTCAACCAAGAAGGGATCATCCTGCAGTGGGTTGATTTAGGTTGATAAGTAGATAGTTGATTGATGGATAGTTGGATGATGGACTTAGACAGAATGGAACAAAGGGGTCTGCTCTCTGAGCTTCCTTATTTTCTTGCAGACATTTCATTACCCAAACTAGGTATCTCCATCACTGCTAGTAGGGAGTGGAGTTTGCTCTCAATTTACAATCTAGTGGCTTGCCCTTTCAGTGTTGGTGGGGGGGGGTGGTCTTAGAAGTTCTTTGTTGGACTCTTTCATGTTGGCTTCTTGGGCAGTTTCTTGATTGGCTATTGTTTACTTGATTGTTGGTCTGATGTTAATCTTGGGAGTTAATCTATGCCGATCTGGGTGCTGATTGCTGGTGAGGAGGTGCTTGGATCTCCCCCCCCCATTTTTTTGGGCTGGTTGATTGTCTCTTTTGCATAGTCTATAGATGTTGTTAATGTCTATGTGTCTATTGATGGCTAATTTGTCAGAATGCCAGGCTTCTAGAATTTCCCTGGTAGTTTTGGACTTGACTTGGTCTAGAAAAGACCAAGAAAACGAGCAAGACCCCCCTCATTTCAACCCTGAGCTGCAAATATTCTCCTTTATCTAGAATGGAGCAAAGCTATGTCTGTTTTAAGAGATCTAATCTTTGCTGCTGGCAGGGACATCATTCTCACGGAATAAAAAGGGACCTACGTAAGCCATGAACGTTTGTGGGAGGTTGGAAGAATCAAATAATGACATCTTCCCACGTATGCTGCCATTTATGAAATCACAGGAGACAACCTGACACAAGGACGAAATTGAGGCATTCGTATGATTGCGTGGGCGTGTGTTGACATTTTGATATTCCAAAACGTGCTTTTTCAAGAGGCAACTGGACTTCCTTTGTTTTTCTTTGAAGACATCTTGCTTCTCATCCAGGAAGCTTCTTCAGTTCTCTGTTTTCTGAACTGAAGAAGCTTCTTGGATGAGAAGCGAAAAGTCTTCAAGGAAAAACAAAGAAAGTCCAGTTGCCTCTTGAAAAAGCACCTTTGGGATAACCATGGACCTGGGAGAATCTCCATAGTTATTGAGATATCATGTGTGGTTATGGACATCACTAATGCTGGTTTAACTGTATGTTTGTCACCTATGGACCCTTAACCCATGAATCCAATGAATTTCACTTCCATATATATTTATGATCCTACCATGGAGGTAAGAATAGATCCTCCATTGTTTCAAGCGATAGAAAAATCATCATGGGAATTTGATTGAATTCGGATTATGTACCCCAAACTAGAGACATTTTTTAAAAAACATGAGAACTAATACAAATAAACAATTTGTATCCAGTATTTGAGGGGCTACCACAAAGAAGAGGGGGGTCAACTTATATTCCAAAGCACCAGAAGGCAGAACAAGGAGCAATGGATGGAAACCAATCAAGGAGAGAACCAACCTAGAACTAAGGAGAAATTTCCTGACAGTGAGGACAATTAACTAGTGGAACAGAAGTTGCTTTCAGACGTTGTGGGTGCTCCATCACTAGAGGCTTTCAAGAAGAGACTGGACAGACACTTGTCTGAAATGGTATAGGGTCTCCTGCTTGAGCAGGGGGTTGGACTAGAAGACCTCCAAGGTCTCTTCCAACTCTATTCTGAATTAAATTTGCTTCCGTTTCCTTCTATATCCATTCAATCCACATTTTCAGATATAATCATCAGATTAAATCCATCTGATTTGGACAGTCAATTTGTGCTTTTTTTGGGGGGGGGAGGCCTTTCTGTGTATGGGAAAAAAAACCCATCCAGTTGAGGGACCACTTCAGAAGCCACCAACTCAAGGAGATAACTTATACTGCCTCAACTTGATTCAGAAAGTTCAATTCAGTTTGTAATCTCGATGGTACTCTCTCCAAATCAAATTTCCACATAAAGCTAATTCCTAATTTTTTTTCTTTTTAAACAGATTATGGTCCAGTCTAGCAACCTAATCACAATTTGCCTCCTTCATCTTAAGATTGCAAGAAAAAAAAAGACCAGTTAATCTCAGGATGGCAGACAAATGATTCAGAATAAATCAAGGGCTCTCACACTTCACAAAAGAAATAATGTTTTATCTTTGGCCATTCCACCCCCACCGGGAGAAATGGCAATTCTTTGTACATGTACACAGAATTTTCTCTCTTCCACACTCTTACCATCTTCTGTTTGGCACCTGCATAGCTGAAATCTTTACAATTACATACACCAGATCTCCAAAGACCATCTTTCCCTCACCCATCTCTGCTGCTTCAACATCCGACGGAGCCACAACCTCACGGAAATTCACATCCTGAGCTCCTTTTTGTGTGTGTGTGTGTGCGTGTGTGATTAGACGCGCAACAAAACACGGGTGTCTCATTTACATGGCTGCCCAAACCAATTGCTTTTCATTTCCCGGTGAATGAGGACCTCTTCTTCTCTCCCCTCCCTTTTCTTTCGTTTATTAATTACATTTTACATATTTTTTCGTACTTTTGTTTAAAATCTTTTTTTCCTCTTTTTTTTTTAAACGTCGATCGACTTCCTTTGTTCGTTTGTTCGGGTTTTTTGTTTGTTTGAGTGTGTCTGTTTACAGCAAAAAAGGATTAGTTTGTATAGATAAGTACATAAAATTGGGGTTAGCAGAGTTTGGCCGTCATCTGATCGGATTGTTTAAGGATCTCCGTGTTGTATAGATCCAGCGCGTGGTTCACCCGGATGATCTCCGTGTTGGTTAGTTTCAGACGGTGTTTGAGCATACAAGAGAAGAGATCCAGCTGGGGCTTTCCAGGGGCTACAGGAGGTGCCAATCTGTTGATTCGGTCCCGTATATCCAACATCAGCAACATGACCGAGGAAGAGGAGTAGAATTGCCCGCCTTGCGTGTAGGACTGGTTGACTTGCTGCACCGCGCTACGCAACAGATCGGCATTAAAGCGCAAGCTGTATCCAAACACTTGGATGTCTGAAATTTTGATGTAGAACTGGCGCTTGTTGGGATCGGAGAGATCCACAGGCCCTTGACCAGTCTCGTTACGCATCAAGGAGGGCAACCGAGTCCGGCTGCGTAGGTAGATGTGGACAGTCTCAAAAAACGTTTTCCACCGGTTCCCCAGCAAGAGAGTCCAGTTGTAACACTGGCTGTTCTGCAGACGGATTTTCTCCCAACGCGGATAGCCAAACTCTCCGAAGGGCATGTTCCAACCTTCGGAGTGGCTCCCGCTGAAAGGGTTCACGTAGACAAAGAACATGGGGTCCAGGCTGCTGTTGCGCATCTGGCAGATACGCATGGAGATCCCGATGACCATGTGGATGAAGT